TAAAAAAAAAAATAACAGAAGGTAATTTCCCAAACCCGAGGGAGACAATAAATACAAAAACAGATAGGAGGGAAAATAATAAAACTGTTTATCTAAACATAATGAGACCTACAAGACCTATAGTAGTGAAACTTCTAAGAGTTCAAGACAAAAAGAATATTAAAGGTGGCTAAGGGGAGGAAAAAACATAACCTATAAAGGCACCCCCATCATACTTGCAACTGACTAAGGAAACTGATGAGCAAAGATGGAATGGAATGATGCATTCAAAATATTTAGATAAAAACTGTCAGTCAGGCCCTCCCTGATGGTGCAGCAGCTTAAAGCGCAGCACTAAGAAGCCAAAGCCACTGCAGCACGAGTTCAATTCCCGCCTTCCCCAGGGTTGACCACATGGCGTGGCAGACCTCTCCTGACCAGCAGACCTCTCCTGACCCGCTCGTTGCTCCCCTCAGCAGTGTATTTCATCGATCTGCCTGTTCGGCTCCCCACTCTGTCTCTGGTGAATCCTCTTACTGCCCTGCACCTCTGGCCTGTATGCATAAATAAATATTTAAAAAAAAAAACTGTCAGTCAAACATGCCATATCCTACAAGGATCTTCAGAATAAGGAAGAAATAAAGTCCTCCCCAGACAAACAGAAATTAAAGGAGTTTACAAAACTAGAACATCCCTGTAAGAAATGTTGAAAGGAGCTCATATGTCTACATGGAAGTGAAAAACATCCATAAAATAACTGAATAGGAAATAGACAACAACAGAAAACCAAAAAAAGTAGCCAAATCACATATACCAATAATCACCCTTGTAAAATAGGGGGCAGGCAAGGAACGCAACTGGAGTCTTATCATGATTTTGAAAACACTGGCAACGTTCTACTTCTTCAGCTGCAGGGGGTGGGAGTAAGCAGTATAGGTTTTTTTTTCTATTTACACTTCACATATATTATTTATCATTTCACATAATCTAGAAAAAGTTATACTGTGTCACCTTTACAAAAGGAAAGGTCAGCTGGACAGTGGTTGTCCAAATAAGCAATGTCTAAAAAACAGATGAGAATATATCAAGATTTTTTTTTTAAAGATTTATTCGTGCATACAGAACTGGGGTACAGGCCAGGGGCGGTGAGAAGCTTCACCGGAGACAGAGTAGGGAACAGAACAGGCAGATCAATGAAGTACACTGCTGAGAGTAGCAGTGGGCAGGTCAGGAAAGGTCTACCACACCATGTGGTCACCTCCAGGGCAGGCGGGAATCGAACTCATGCGGAAGCGGCTTTAGATTCTCAGTGCTGTGCTTTAACCCACTGCGCCACCAGGGAGGGCCCTATATCAAGATTTTAAGTGTTATCTTACCTGATGAATAACTGGATGTCTTTCTTTTATATTTTTGGTGCTGCAGGAGTATACAATTTTCCTGATCACAAACATTTGCTAATTCACAGGGGCAAGGAATAAGTTGGAGCTATTACTGACAAACAAAAAGGCAGTTAAAAAAAAAAAACCGGTATGTGTATTTGATGTTTGCTGCTCCCAAAACTCTGTACCTGGGTGGTATTTGCAACATCCAGTTAGCAAGCCTATTTTCAGTTTAGTTAGTAGTTCCCCAGGATGGGCTACCTGACTAGTAAGAGCAAGTACCTCTCGTGAACAACTCACAAAGACCCTTCAGCCTTTCTCACAGGTGTTAAACCTCAAATGCCTAAAATAGTAACAACCATTTAAAATAACCCAAGAAAGCAGAGGACATGTGGCTGGATGACTCTCTGCCTTTCTTGTTAGCAGGTCTACCTGTCATCACTTATCAAATAGTGACTGCTGAGACTAAGGTCACAATTATGTACAACTCTCCTTTACAAATTTTACTTTCATCAAAACTTGACTAATCTCACTTCCAGGCAAACATAAAGTAAAATTATAAAAAAATCTGTAATTAAAATATCACTTTTGGTCTATATATTGCAATAAAATGGAAACTTTTAATTGGAAAAAAGATTCTTTGCTATTAAAAAAAATCACCAAACAGAAATATCACAAGAAAGAAGTGAGAGACTAAAATGCACATTTCTATGAACCTCGCAATGAGGAAGACATTTTTCCCCACCATATAGTACTTGATCTTTCTTTCCTTCCCTTCACCTTCAACTTTTCCCTCAATTTTCCTAGTCCAAGTTATTAAAGACTCTTGTTCTAAGTTAAATGTAGTAAAAGGGGTCATGAGAGTAAAGGATGGACAAAGTGATAAAATAAAATGTTTTTTTTTAAAAAGTACATTTAACATAGGAATTATCTGCTCCTAGGGTCAAGCAGGTGATAGCTATAGGTAGATGATCATTATCAAATTATCAAAGCAAGCATTATAAAAATGTGAATTAAAGAATTTTCTATTTTTAACAAATACTTTATCTAATTTACTTTCATTCATATGTAGTACTTTATTTGCAACATGTTAGTCATGAAGTTTAATTCACATTTCATTTTCTGAGGCAGTATAATATAACAGATTAGGAACACATAGTCAGACATCCTGAGTTGAAATCTCAGCTCTATCTCGCCATGAAACCTTGGGTAAATTATTTAACACCACCATGCCTCACCTTCCTTATAGTAACATAAAAATAACAATTACCCTACTGATTGTTTTAATAAATAAAAGTGATATATGTTATCACTTCTTAACATTTATCAAATGTTAGCAATTATAATTATTTACCACAAAGTCCCTTCATTATTTCAGTACTTTCACGGGCTACTAGTATTTCCTATTCTATCATTTGAAAATGATCTTATGTTTGAATATCTCATCACTTAAATAAATCTAATTTTTCTTTGAATTCTAGATCTGGCTACATGCATACTGTAAAATGGTAACCTCATATTTTAGCTATACTTCTTTGCAACATAGGTCCTTTTAACTTTCCAGTCTACTGACAGAATTATACCACTTCAGGCAAAATGCAGGAAACTTAACAATTTCTTTTCCTCAACTTTATGCTTATGACAGTTATATATCTACATATGCTATGGGCCTTGCAATACAATAACTTTAACCTTATAGGTGTTTTGCAGAAATCTGCTTACATATTTACCATTTCTACTGCTCTTCACTCCTTCAGAATATCCAATTTTCCACCTAGTATCATTTCCCTTAAGCCTGAAGAACTCCATTTTTAGCATTCTTGTAGTAGAGGTCTGCTGGCCACAAAAATCTCATTTTCGTTTCTGCAGTGTTATTGTCTTTCCAAGTGTTGATTCCCCTTCAATTTTTGCTGTTTAGGGTCACTCTTCAGTGCCTTCAGAGTAGTGAAGTTTTGTATTTTGTCCAGAATTTATAATAGTTTTCTGCAAAAGGATTAGTTCAATACGAGCTATTCCACTATTACTAGAAGCAGCTAATATTTTAAGATGCCAGAAAAGTTTTCAATATTCAAAGGAGATCCCTGGTCATGTGACCATATGGTATAAGATGGATTACAATACTCCAAAATGATAGATTCATAGTTTAGTTACCACCATTATCCCATAAACTGATTTATGTAAGGTTATAATTCTGCAACCTGAATTTCAACTTTTTTCGACTTCTCCCTACATAAAAAAAGATGCACTTTGTTCTATGGAAACTTGATCATGATCATATATTTAGAAATACAACCATGTGTTTGGCTGCTTGTTCTACTAGTTAGAATTATTTGCTTCAAAGACAACAGAAATCAGCTCCAGTTAACTTTAGCAGAAAGTAAATTTACCACAAAAAAATCAGGAAGATCAGAGAGTTTATGGAAGTCTGGAGACTCTGGCTCCAGAGAACACCAAAGGAGGAAAGGAATGAAGAAATGCTAGTCCATATACTCAGGAGCCACAGCCCTTGGAGTTCAGGGAACATATGCCCCAACCATTGTCTACTCCCACAGTACTGGGCTCAACTACCTCACCCCCCTGCATTTGAGACTCTAACACCCACTGCTCCCTTAAAAGCCGGTGACTGGGTGGTACTACCCCATAGGCGCAAAGTCTGTTACAGGCAAAAAGCGGAACCTACCTCACCAAACCTGCTGTTCTCCCCAATGAGAAGGGCATGCAATTGGAAAAAATTAGCTATAATTACTATTATTAATTATAAAGTGGAAATTATAAACAATTGCCATAAGAGCCAGTGTTAAAAGCAAAATCATACAATGAGGATTTCATAAAAACATGTTATGCTTGTATTTTTTTTCATGATTTGAAGCATCTCAGTTTGAGCTATGTACAAAATGAAGAATGATGTAAAAAATAATAATACATTAAAACAGAAAAAAATAAAGTTAAAACCAATATAAAAATGATATAAGGTGGAAGATAAGCCTTTTATGGCATGTAGCACCCAGCTGGACCCCAAGTGTCATCCCTCTCAGCCCTCCAGGGGAGGTCTCAAAATTCTGCCTTCCAAGGAAGTCTAGCCTTGCCTGGATAGAACTCCCAGATGAATATTGAAGCCCTTGGTCTGAAAAGCAATCACCTTTGGAACAAAATCTAAGATTATTGAGGCAGAAAACACAAAATGGAACCAGCAGTTGGCAGGAGACACAGAATGGAACCCAGCAGTTCTGGGTAAAAATGAATTTGACTTTCAGTAAGGAAAGAGATGAGTTTATTTACTTGAGACTGAAAGCTTAAGGCCTGGGGCTGAGAACTGAATCAGGTCAAAGAGCAGTACTGAATGCTGAAGAAATGGCATACTACTCATAAAAAAAAGGGTAAATGGCAGATATCTGTCTTCACTTACATGTGGAAAGCAGAAGAACCTAACAAAAGGTCAAGAAAAAGACAAAACAGACAACAACCATAGACCTGAGGGTACAGCAAGGGGCTGGGAGGGAGTGAGGTCTAAACAGGGGGAGACAGCACATGGGACTATGATGCTGGTGCCCGGGTGCTGTGGTGGTAGGAGAACTACAGGGACTACCCCTGAGGGGAGAAACCAATTATTGTACAAAAATGAACAATGATGTAAGAAAATAAATGTAAAAGGGAAATGATTTTAAAAGAAATGGCAGACTTTAACAAAGAATTTTAAATAAAACTTTCTGAAGCATAGCTTTAATTTTGCCATCACCACCTTCATGGGAAAAATGGCCCTGGAGAGGATCTGGAATAAACTGGGTCTAAACTAGATGGGCAACTAGATGCAAACCTCCCAACTGGTATGCCAGTCACCTAAGTGTCTCCCTCCAAACCTAGTGAATCTGCAGTCCAGCTGCTCCATAAGGCCCCTCCTCTTGTCTCAGCTTCACAGGCCTGAAGGATGCCTCAGGGCCCAAGGCTGTTTCCAGCTGGATATCAAGGGAGTGACCTTAGATAAAGCTCAAGCACCCAGGGCCCACTTTCTGCATTTTCAATCCAATTTGAAATAGATTGATATAAAAATATTAATAAAATATTACTTGGGGAAAACTGATTATATAATGCACTAGTTTATAACAAGGCAAGGAGGAAATAATCGCAGTACAAGAGCATTTCTAGCTGTATTTCTTCAAATAACTGGCTGTCCGTTAAAATTAAAATGAAACAGGGCCCTCCCTGGTGGCGCAGCGGGTTAAAGCACAGCACTAAGAAGCAAAAGCCACTTAAGCATGAGTTCGATCCCCGCCTGCCCGGAGGTGACCACATAGTGTGGCAGACCTCTCCTGACCCGCCCGCTGCTCCTCTCAGCAGTGTACTTCATAGTTCTGCCTGTTCTGCTCCCCACTCTGTCTCTGGTGAATCCTCTCACCATCCGCATCTCTGGCCTGTACCCCAGTTCTGTATGAATAAATAAATAAATCTTAAAAAAAAATTAAAATGAAACAACATTTACACAAACCCTATTTTCTCCTACTCTTTGAACCTAACTACAGGTTTTAACCACTCACCTTCTGTATTAACATCCAGAACATTATTTTATTCTTGACTGATTTATGCAATTTGGGGTGCCTGCTCTCAGAGAATATGCATGACTAAAGTGAAATAAATGGGTATACAAGAAACAACCTCTCTCCGGGTTCTACTAAAATCAAGCTAATGCTACACAAAGTACTAAGGATGGAATCAGCATCCAACAGTAAGGAAAAACTCTCAAAGACTAAAATGTAATGGCTGTTTTGGCAAGCTTGCACATTTTCCTGTCATTGACTAGACATTTTTACAACAGAATTTTAATTGAGAGTAATACAAATAATTCTAGTTCATAGAAATACAAGTTGGTAAAATACAACTAATTATTGCCCAGTGGATATTGATCAATTTTACATATTTTCACTTGTAAATTCATTTTAGCATATCCTTATTTGACTGTAAACATGTAGTTCTTAGAACTTGGAACACTATCATAATATTAATGAATTAAATTAAATCATTTATACATGCTCATTTTATATTTTTATGAAAGACAATCGTATTCTACTTTAAAATTTACCCGTTAGCAATAGTTTGCTTAGTTGAAGACTAAAATGAAAACAAACATATACACAATTGCTACTGGTAACACAATATAACCTTTGAAATGATGACAAAGGAGGACTGCTCAGAAGATAATTGCTATAACCAAAAAAAAACTTAGGATCATTGTTACAATAATTACTTCTCTAGATTACATAAAACAGCCTACAAACCTATTATTTTCTACTGGACAATCTCCACAAACACACATATACCTATATACAAGCTATATATAATCACATAATATACATTTTATATACTGTACACTCCAAGTATACAGTACATAAAGACATACCACTATACATATAGAGTACAAGGCATACAGCATATAAGTATGTGCTATAAATAGCTTATTAAAAAAAAGAGAACTGTCCTAATATATCATTTCCATCACTTAGTATAAAAAAACAAAAAATAAGTATGACTCCTATATTTTAACTCTTCACCTAGTTGTTTATTATAGTGGGAAGCATTTATGAAATTTGGCACTAAGGAGTCTGTTTTCTTTTTAGGAACACACAGTTAAGTAATTTTAGCTTTTCAATTAGACATAGATTAAATACCACTAGTTAATAGCTTCCTAACAGCTTCCTAATTTATAATAATAAAATCAGATTTTCACAGCCAGAAACAATCATGTTCTTTTAAAGCCTTCACTATAAGGTAGTTCCACAACTCAGTTTCAAATATTCTTAACAGTAATTTCAAATAACAGTAACCAAAATACTTTAAACTCCCCTGGCAATGAATTCTACTCGGTATGGTAACTTAATTCTTTTTAGATTAATATTCAAACTTTAATGTTTAATCCCACCTAGAGAGTAATTTCCAAAGTGATATCTCCTGAAGCCAAAACCCAGACTTCATGTCTCTAGAATAATCTTGCCTTGTAGTAGATTTTTAACTTCAGTAAGTCTATACGCCTTTCCCAAAGTAGTTCTGGCTGGCCTGGACTTGTTGTAAATAGCTGGAGCATCAGACAGCTTTTTAAATGTCAACACACTTAATTCACACAATGTACAAGGAAAGTATTGTACTTTAAAATAAAGATGTGTTTCCTCTTGTGAAATAAAGTTAATCATTTGGAAGAATCTACTTAAAGGAAATGGGATAGTTTTACCTTCTCTAGAAAAGAAATGAGAAGTCATCTCACTTTTCCCTCCCTTTATCCCACTTCAAGCATAGCCTAGAGATCAAATGTGTTATGTGTGACAGAAAAAGAAACATTAAAGGATGTAAACCTAAAGATCTAATAGTCACATAAGCCTGTGAGATTCAAAAATGTGGGTCTGTATTTTTAATATCCTAAATTAAATAAGTTTATGTCAAATACAAATTTTCTACACCCTACTCCATCTCCTCTAAAATTTTAAACAAATAACTTGATATGAATAATATTATATCCAAATATCAAATATTATCCTGACTATTTGAACAGCAAACACAAACAATTCTAATCCCAATCATACTGTTATGAAATGTTAATGTATTTAAATTTTTAAATTATACATGGAATTAACTGAAATGCTGTACTTTAAACAATTAAATATTAATATTTCAGCCATATTAAATAATAAGAACATATGACCAAGTAACACTCAATACTGGTAATTTCCAAAGGCACATTATAGATTGTGAAAATTCTGGAAAATGTTCACTGCAATCTCATCTACACAAAGATATTCAAAGAAGCACCACATATATCTTTTAAGGAATATGTTAAATGAGGTTATAATAACAATGCATAAGGAAATATGTGGTATTTAAAGTGTTAAAGTAATGGAATTTAATAAGAGCTATAAATATATACCTTATATCAGACCAAATTAATAAAGGAGACTTACCAGTGATAGTTTCACAATATTTTAGCGAATAATATAAGGTACTTAATGACTAAAAACTCCTTATGCTAGCTATGTATCAATTATTTTTTAAAAGATTTATTTTATTTATGCATGCAGAGCTGGGGTACAGGCCAGACAGAGGTGCAGGGATGGTGAAGAGGCTTCACCAGAGACAGAGTAGGGAGCAGAACAGGCAGATCGATGAAGTACACTGCTGAGGGGAGCAGCAGGTCTCTGGTCAGGAGAAGTCTGCCACGCCATGTGGGTCACCTCCGGGCCGGGGATCAAGCTGGCAATGAAGCGGCTGTGGCTAGCTTGCAGTGCTGCATCCTAACCCAATGCACCACCAGGGAGGGCCTCTGTCAATTATTTTTTTAAATTATCATTAATCAAAATAATAGCACACTAATCGGAAAATAACTGAAAAAGTAAAACATTTAGCTTACATACCAGAGATAAAGTAAGGCATTGTTCTGGCAGGAGGAAGAACTAGGATGCGGGTACATATTGCCATCTAAAAACTGCCTCCTTATCAGCCCTACAGTAGAGGAGCTTGCCACAGGATTTTTAGTGAAGTGGACTAACGTGTTCTGAAAGTCATGATTCCTGTCCATCTTCCCCACACTCACATACCAGAGTGGGCTGGGAATGGGTACTTGACTTAGTCTGGATATTTTTTTTTTTAAAGTCCCATTATTGATGGAGCCCTAGTATAAGATATGTGAAACCCTGAAGCTAGGCGAATAACTAGAAAACCAAGAACCATAACTTTCTATGATTCTAAACTGTCTATTCTATTCTTCATTATTTTATGGAGAATAATGGACTTATTCCACTCTTCCATTATTCTCCATAAGACTCACAAAATTGTCTTATGTGTTCCTTCCTGTTGTGGGGGGGGGGGACAATGAGGATGGAAAATGAGATAGGAATCTCAGTTTGACTGCTTCTAGGTTACCCTAAGGTCTTGCCAACTGACTAGAAGTTGTGTTTTTCTTATTATCTGTATGCTTACAGTAATAGCTTCCTACTCCAAAATGTTAGAGATGCTCATGGCTCTTAAAAAACCAGAAGTGCTGGCCCTCCCTGGTGGTGCAGCGGGTTAAAGACAGCACTGAGAAGCTAAAGCCACTTTCACATGAGTTCGATTCCCGCCTGCCCAGGGGGTGACCACATGGCATGGCAGACCTCTCCTGACCCACCTGCTGCTCCCCTCAGCAGTGTACTTCGTCAATCTGCCTGTTCTGCTCCCCACTCTGTCTCTGGTGAAGTCTCTCGCTGCCCCTGAGCCTCTGGCCTGTACCCCAGTTCTGTATGCACAAATAAATAAATCCTAAAAAACAAAAAAACAAAAAAAAAAAACATGAAACCAGGAGTGCTAAACAAAAGGTTCTGCTGCTTTCCTCTTATTAAGTCAAAACAAATCAGGGAAAAAGGCATAATTTACTTAAAAAAAAAAAACTTTAATGTACTATGTAATCTACTGAATAAAATTAAAATTCAGGGATATGTACAATTGAATAGATTATAAAGACTATGAGCCAGTATACTATGATATAATAATATCCATTATTATTATATATACAGATATATAATGCATGTATGTATATATATATACACATGTATTATATATACACATACACATGTATTATATATATGTGTACACATATATACACACAGATAATATATTTAATCTTTATCCCTGGTTCCTGATATAAGACTTTGAAAAACTTTGTAGTTTCTAGATTGGTAAGAAAGTCAATTTGGTACACTAATGAGATAACTCTTGGCCAAGGAGTAATCTTAGGTAGCTTCAGGGTGGGTGTTGGCCCCCAGAAAAACTTAGGGACAGA